AGCCCGCCCGGGCCTCGCCTCACCCCGCCCCGGCCCTGCCTCAGCCCGGCTCCGCTTCAGCCCGCCCCGGTCCCGCCTTAGCCCGCCCCGGTCCCGCCTTAGCCCGCCCCGGTCCCGCCTCAGCCCGCTCCGGCCCCGCCTCGCCCCTCCTGCCTCAGCGCCAACGGCCGCGGATCCCGCCCACGGGCGGGCCGAACCACTACGCCGAGGAGAGGGGAGCTCGGGCGTAGCCGCGGCCTGCTGCGGTCTGCCACAACGCCGCCCGGCAACGGCTCTGTTTCTTGACACCCCCCTCACCCGCGCGCGATGGTCTCGGCCAGCAGTTGCGCTCTCTTCCGCCAATCAGCGCGCGCGGGGGCTGCGCTCGAATCTGCGCGCGGGGCGCCGTGAGGGGAGCGGGGCCGGCCCGGGAGCGCCGCCGGAGCGGCGGGGCCGATCCGCAGCCATGAGGGGACCGGGACCCGCCCGCGGCTGCTGCGGGGGAGCCTGCGACATCATCACGACCCCCAGCCGCCGCCCTGCCGCGGGAGAGCCGCCGCTCCGCTCGGTGTCCCTCAACAGCATCCCCGCGGGGACGCTCACCCCGCTGAAGCAGCTCCTGCGGGGCCAGGGCACCGTCGCGGCTGCGGGGAGCAGTGTGCCGGGCCCGCAGCTCGCGGGCCCGATCCTCCGGGCTGGCCCCGGCACCCGGCCCGGGCCCATCGGCGAGCAGTGCCCGATCCTTCGGGCTGGCCCCGGCACCCGGCCCGGGCCCATCGGCGAGCAGTGCCCGATCCTCCGGGCTGGCCCCGACAGCCGGCCCGGGCCCATCGGCGAGCAGTGCCCGATCCTCCGGGCTGGCCCCGACAGCCGGCCCGGGCCCATCGGCGAGCAGTGCCCGATCCTCCGGGCTGGCCCCGACAGCCGGCCCGGGCCCATCGGCGAGCAGTGCCCGATCCTCCGGGCTGGCCCCGACAGCCGGCCCGGGCCCATCGGCGAGCGGCCGCAGAAGCGCCGCGCTCCGGGGCCGCCCGGGCAGGAGTCACCGGCCAAGATCTTCCAGCGGATGAAGGCGCGGGCGGAGCAGCGACGCAGGGTCGGCACCGATGTGATCCTGAGCCCCGCGGCCGGGCAGCACTGGCCCGGCATAGCCTGGACGGGGGGCAGCGCCCAGCCGAGACCAGGTGAGTTCCGCGGACCTTCGGTGACTCTGTGAGAATGGTTTGTTTGCCTTCAGAATAGCTGGAATAAAAAGCACAGGGATGTAAATCTGAGTTTAGTTCATGGAACTTTCAGGCGTCTTGTACTGCAGTAAGTGACGTCCCTGATTTTCACACATTCTCCTAAGCCTTTTAGTTCTTTCTTTGTACCATTCCACAATCCCAAATGATAGGAATTATTAATAGTTCCTTTTCCCAAGCGGTTATTTTGGGACACTCTGGAGTCACCTGTTGATAGGAAAGAGCTCTCAGCTGCAGCCAATTGCCTTAATCCTTCTTGCTTGGAAGGCCCATGGAGAGGACAAAGCTCCTTGACACCAGCACCCATCAGTCCAGAGCCTGGGCATAATTTGGAAGCAATGATTGTTCCACAGCTTCTCTTGGAGAACTGTCTCAGGTGTGAACGTTTTCCCTCTTTGTCCCACTCATGGCTCTTTCAGGATCTGGAAACAGCAGCCAGAGCACCTTGGTGGGTGTAAAAAACACTGGCACCAGCCCTGTGGGGGTGACACCTGGAACCCTCAATTTTCAGGAATTCAGTTCCCTTCCAGCATTCCTCATGCAGGATTTGTACAATCTGTTACTGCAGTGGTGCTGTCCCTGATCCCCCTTCCCTATTCCTGCAGGGATCCCTGTGCTTCAGGAGAGAATCCTGGGGCCTCCACCAGGGTCTGGTGCTAAAGAAGCTTGGGAAGAGATGTTTGTGGGAGCTGGAGTGATTTGACAAAATAGGAGTTTAGATGGGATATTAGGAATAAATTCCTGGCTGGGAGGGTGGGGAGGGGCTGGGCTGGAATTGCCAGATTTGCTGTGGCTGTCCCTGGATCCCTGGCAGTGCCCAAGGCCAGGCTGGACATTGGGGCTGGAGCAGCCTGGGACAGTGGGAGCTATCCCTGCCATGGCAGGGCTGGGATGGGATTTAAGGTCCCTTCTCACCTAAACCTTTCTGGGATTCTTGGGAGGTTTTTTAAATAAAACGTATATAAAAAAAATCATATTGCTTACTCCCAATGAAAATGTTTTTCTTCCCCAAATTGAAAGATGGTTTTGGTTTTTTTTTTGTCTGGTTATTTTGCAGAGCCAGTTTGGCCCCAGGCTCCCAGGATGGAGCCCCTGGCAGTGCTCCCTGCAGAGCCTCCCATGCTGGAAACCCCCCAGAAGTTCTTCCTGAGGGTGAAGTGCCAGCTGCAGCAGCAGCACAAAGGTACTGGGGTTGCTCTGGAGAGCACAAAGCTCCTCCAGCCAGAGAACCATGGGATTGCTGAGCTTGGGAAAGCCCTGAGACCATCACTTGTTCCCCCAGCATTGCCCCATGTCCCCAAGTGCCACATCCACAGGGCTCGAAGTCCCTCCTGGCAGGGGGCTCCCCCTCACCCCAGGCAGCCTTGCTCCTGTGCTTAAATATCCCTAATTTCTTTGGGTTTTGTTTTGTTTTGTTTTTTTCCTTTAAATGGACAGCTACACCACCTTTAACCCAAACCCAGCAGAATATTCCTCTTTCCACAACTGCAGAGAATCCTTTTGTCCAGCCTGCTTGTGCTGAGCAGCCAGGGAACGAGCCTGCAGAGGATGTGGACTCTGGGAATGATGATGTGGATGTTTTCCTTGTGGAAGCTGTAGAAACTGATGCTGATGAAGAAATATCTCAAAGTGTACTGGCTACTCCTGTGCAAGTAAACTCCACCCCTTGGGGAAGCGGGGATTGGGTAAAAGGAAGGCGGGGAAATGGAGAAGAAAAACGTGCAGAGCTTCATGAAGACAGGAGAGAGCTGCAGCCCAGTAAAAAAACAGCTGCTCCAGCAGTGGAAAAGGCACCAGAGACCGATCCTGACAAGCCGTCCCAGCAGTTCTGCAGCATCATGCTCTCCTCTCCAGTCCACATTCCAAGGAAGCAGAAGCAGGCAGAAGACCCCAAGGTCCCTTTGGATAAATCTGCTACTGATCAACCAGCTGGCAAAGCACACAAAGAGGTGGGAGAAAATAAAAAATCCTTTAGGGAAAATGAGAAATTCCTCTGGGCTGATAGCTCAAAGTTATTCTTTTTCTTGTCAAAAGCAAGGAACACTCAGAAGAGAATAAAATAGGTTTTATCAGTAAATTTTCCCATGCAAAGGGTTCCTTTTTTTTCATACTCCAAGATGATGAATGTTCAGGCTTTGGGGTTTTTTGTCTAAAAGAAGCACTTTTGGTTTAGTGTACACCTGCCGTGGTGTGATCATGGCCCTGCCAGGTCCTGCCTGCCTGCTCAGGTCCAGGGAGGAGAGACTTTTCCCAGCTGGGCATGAATCCATCCAGGAATGTGCCCTGCTGATGGGGAGGGGAAAGGCTTGGCTTTCCTGTGGAACATCCAGATTCCCATTCAATTTAACTGGAACAGAATCTTCTCCTAGGAGAGCAGCGGGCAGCCTGCAGCATTCTTCCCTTTCTGAATAAATCCTAGGAGAGCAGTGCTCCATCCCTGGGGCTCCCTGGGAGCCTGGCACAACCACACCTGCCCAAGACTTGGGTTTGTTCTCTGGGGAATCTGGGATTGCAAGGCACTTGTTCTGTTCTCCCTCACCGTGGCCAAGAGTGTTTGTTGTGTTTCCTGAATTAAACCAAGTTACCTTTAGGACTGAGCCAAGGGTCAGATATCCTCTAGTATTGCAGATTTGTAGCTTAGAAGGTGCTGAAAGAGCTGTTTTTGTTATTGGATCTGGATGGCAATAAATACTTCTAATTTATTTATTTATTTGTTTGTTTTCTGGAACAGAAAAGCATCTGCCTGAGCAGCTGGAGGATCAAAGTGCTGACTGGAGACAAGGAAATCTGTGTGGAAGGGAAAAGGAAGTAAGAACCAGTTTGTTATTTAATTGCAAGGTAAAGCATGGACACCAAACACCAGGTAGGGGTGCAGAGCCTAAACTGCTTTATCAAGGAAGAGAAGTTCCTTTGTGTGGGCAGGAGGGGGAGAGCCAGCACCCAGGGAACTGCTGCTGAAATCATTTCAGAGTGCTGTGCTACCATAACCAGAAAGCTTCAGAGAAATAAATATCAGATAGCTCTGGACAGTTTGGGTTGGGAGGGGCCTTAAAGCCCGTCCAGCACCACCCCTGCCGTGGGCAGGGACCCCTCCCACTGTCCCAGGCTGCTCCAAGCCCTGTCCAAGCTGGGCTGCTGTACTGAGCTGCCTTCAGCCCAGCTGATGTCCCGTGAGTGACACCAACAACAGTGACACGTTCAGTTTGTCCCTGCCCCAGTGCCAGGCTGAGAGAGGAAAACCCAGAGCACATCCTGCCAGCGCCTGAGTCCTTCAGAAAACAGGGATCGCCCCCTCTCCCTGATGGAGTGTCAGCATTCCAGACTGGAATCCCTTCTGGAAGTGATTCCTGTGGTTGCTGCTGTGTCTTTTGCCAGGGACATGAGGCAGCTGCTGTGGCACAGCAGCGCCATCACGGAGCGCGTCAGCCACAACCAGGTGAGGACCTCCTCGGGCACTGTCTACCTGCTGCAGGGCAAGATAGACTCAGCTGTCATGAGGAAGGAAGGTGAGCTGCTGATTCTGAATGCCTTACAAATTACAGACTCTTTCAGCTTGCTTTGGAGCATGTGGGATATGTAGGGAAATGGGATTTCCACACAGATGGAAATAGGTGTGCTCCGCTGGCACGTTTGCTGGGAATGAGCTGCTTGTCACAGGCAGCTCTGAGGACGCAAAGATACTCTGTGGCATAGGTGGGATAAATACTTGGAATCATGGAATATCCTGAGCTGGAGGGACCCCCAGGGATCATCCCAGCCCCTGGCCCTGCCCAGACCCCCCAACAATCCCAGCCTGGGCATCCCTGGCAGCGCTGCCCAAACGCTCCTGGAGCTCCGGCAGCCTCGGGGCCGTGCCCATTCCCTGGGGAGCTTTTCCAGAGCTCATTCCACCCTCTGGGGGAAGAGCCTTCCCTGATCTCCAGCCTGAGCCCCCACCCCCATTCCAGCTCCAGCCATTCCCTCAGCATCACTTCCCCTAACACAGGTGTGCCCCAGGTGTGCCACACCATTTTTTACCCAACACACCTTCACTGTTGGCTCTTTCAGGCCCAAAGATGTGTCTGTGGCTTCAGTGTTTCCTTCTCCGTTGCAGCACTGGGCTCCCTGCTGATCAACACCTGATCTGGCTGCTCTCTGACTTGAAAATTTTATTGCTTCCTTTGCTAAGAACTTACATTTGTTTCTAATTTAATATTCTGAGAAGGAAAAGTAGCAGCATAAGGCTTGTGAGCAGAGTGGCTCTAGTGCTGCAGAGGTTTCCTAGGCCTAAGAGTGACAGGAGTGTGGTGGACAGAATTGTCTGGGTCAGTTGCTGTGATGTTTGGGTTGAAGAGGCTGCAGGGGGTTCTTGTGTCCCCCGAGGGAGTGCCAGCCCTGCTGAGCTGCTGCTGATGCCCCCTGTGCTCCCCGCAGGGTTCCCCTACCGCTTCATCAAGAAATTCACCTACGGCTTCTCCCGAAGGTGGAAGGAGTACGTGAAGGAGCTTCTGGAGGGAAGGAGGAGGTAATGTCTTTGGAGATTCTCTTTCATTGCAGGGTTCTAAGTGTTCATGGAGACTTTGCTTTTCAAGGATATTACACCAGAGGAGTGTGAAATGTTTTAGATGTGGGAATGAAGCCACTCTGCTGCTCTGGGCCACCGGGCTCCTGCCCTCCAGGGCTTCACACCTTCACTGTTTGGTAACAAACAGCTTCCTCAGTGGTTGCTGTTTCTTGTCTCTAACTCCAAACCATCAGGAAAGAAAGAATTCAAGATAGTGGTGTGGAAGAAAATGAGGAGAATGGCTCTGTGGGGGGAACTGATGTGCTGGAAACTGCAGGAGGCTCAGCAAGGGCGTCAAGGAAAGCCACGCTGAGGAACTCCACCTATGAGGTATCACCAGGGAATGATGAGAACATCTGTGAGTATTTTTTATCAATCCTTTCCTTTGGAAAAGACACCTGGAGGTGGCTGGAGTGGGCTGTGGAAGGGTTTATCATGTTGGTTGTGTTCCCAGGAAATGGCTGTAAAGCTGTAAAGGCCCCCTGGTTTGGCTCAGCCTTCGAGTGCAGTCCCTGCCTTGCCACGGGCACTGACAGCTTTGGGGTTTAACTCAGACTTTTTCTGGGGTCTTTGTCCAGTGGGCCTTTCCCAAACCCCTCTGTGCAGTTTGTTACTGCTGGAATCAGATCTCCTTGCTAGCACTATAAAAGCTTTTACCTTTTCCTCTCATCGCTCCCATTTATTTTTCACTCTCATTTGTCTCACTGAGCAGCTGTTCCATGTGAGAGCTTTTCTTTATCATTCTCCTTCCTCAAATGACTTTCACAGTATTTACAACATTCTAAACAAAATAAAAGTAAAGCATTCTCCACAGTAAATTTTATAATTTGTGAAGATTCTTACTTCAGTCCTGTTATTTCTATCACAATGCTTTGAAAAGAACAACTTTGGGTATGTTTTACATTTCCCTTGTAGTCTGGTTTAAACACAGCATTGTTCCTCTGCTTGTGAAATCTGAAAAACTGAATTTTCTATGAAATATTTGGGACAAAACTCTTCTTTGTTTGGGCTTTTTTTCCCCTTGCAGTCATAACACCAGATCACAGCTCCAGGAATGACTCGAGCAAGGTCTACACTCGCAGCGGGCGCCTTGTCAAACCCCCCCTGAACTTCTGGTGTGGGCAGAGGGAGTTTGTGGATCAGAACCTGAATGTCACCATAGAAAATGGAGGGGTGGATTATCTGAGCCTGGTAAGATCCTCTGAAATGTGACTTAATTAGAATCATTAAACTTGGCCAGGGGAACAGAACAGGTGCAGACACACCTGAAGAGGAGGGAATCTTGGAAACGTGATCAAAATATTAGAAAACACACCAAAAAATAGTCTTATGTCCATATTGCCAGATAATTGTGGCCTCTAAATCTGACATAATGGGGAATTGTTTCTGGGGAAAAAACTGGGGTTTTTTTTAAGATAATTGTAGCAGACAGGAATTTGGTGAGGTCCCACCTCAGATCCTGGGGTCAGTTCTGGGCCTTTCACTGCAAGGGAGACTTTGAGGGGTTGGAGCATTTCCAGGGAAGGGAACAGGGCTGGGAAGGGCCTGGAGCCCCAGGAGCAGCTGAGGGAGCTGGGAAAGGGGCTCAGCCTGGAGAAAAGGAGATTGAATTAATTTTAGAGCAAATTGTTTTATTTTGAAGATGCTTAGTAGTGAAAAATTAAAAAGAAAGACCAGTTTCATCTCCAAGAAGAATAAACCAAAGGAAGACAGGAAGACAACAGAGGAAATGCCAAAAAGCCAAAGTAAAGGTAAAAACTGATTTTTTTTTTCTATTTCCAAGTTCTGATGGAATCAGTGGGATTGTGAGTGGGTGCTGGAGCAGTAGGGTTGGGTCTGTTAATGCAAAGAAATTATTCAAATATTTTAATGATCAGCTGCTTTTTCTTTGAAAAATCAGCAGAGTAGCATTTGTGTGGAGCTTCACAGCTCCAAACAAGAACTTTGTTTGTAAATCACTTTGTTAATTGCATAAGAGGAACACAGGGATTTCATTCTGGAAATTGAAATGAAGGGATTTGGACTTTTTAGAGTTCACCAATCCAGTGACCTGGGGGCCTGGCTTTGCTTTTTAATGTGGATGAAAGAAATGAAATGTTGGCAAAAAAAAAAAAATAAATCTATTAACAGAGTTTTCAATAAAAATTTGGTTGCAGTAGAATCTGGGAGGTGATAGTAACCTGAGAAGAATGTGCCATATAAAGCAGAAGTTTCTCTCTTAAAGCAGCTGCAATGTTTCCTGCAGAAAAGCTCTCTGGAGCACGAGCAGAGCTTGGGGGATGTGCCTGCTCAGTCAGTAGAGTTTCGGAGAGCCCCTGAGAGCAGCTCTGAGTTTGTAGTTTGGCAGGTAAAGCTCTGGCAGGGGGTGCAGATCCCTGTGCTGCAAGCACAGCAGGACCCACCCTGCACCCCCTGACGGGCTCTGGCACCGCCTCTTCCAGGGAAAAGCAGCGAGAGAGGAGCCACTTCCAGAGGGGACTCCAGGTCTGCCCGCAGCAGGGACGGCAGGCGCTTCCCTTCGGACGAGGAGGAGGATGAGCCTGGCATCAGGGTCACGAGAACCAAATCCCAGCTTCCTGCCAGGGGGAATTCCTTAAACAGCACGGAGCAGAGCAAGCCCAGCAGGACAGCCCCAGAGGCGCAGGGAGCAGCAGGCTCTGCAGGGCTGAGCATGTACGAGCAGGGCTACAGGAACTCCCTCAGGTCAGCCAGGCAGCGCCTCCCGGGAAAGGAGAGCATTGTCCTCAGCCAGGAGCCCTCAGAGGATGAGGGGGAGCAGTCCAGCGAGGACACCCCACTGCTGATCAAGAGGAAGAAGAAAACTATAATAAAACCAGAATCTCGAAGCTGGAAACCTTCCTCTGGCTCCAGAAGTTCCCAGGATAATGCAGACAAGTCCTGTGGCCAAAGGACAGGAAAGCCCTCCCAGAAAGTGCTGGTGAGGCTGAGTGGGCCCGAGTCCAGCGAGGAGGCTGAGCTCTCTTCTGAGGGGAAAACATCCTCTGAGTCCAGTGCTTCCCTCCTGCCTGCTCGGACCAGGAGGGCACAGGGCAGGATCAGCCCTCCCCGGGGCTTGCTCGATTCCAACACTGAGCCCAAAAGCGGGAAGGAGGAACTGCACGGAAGGGACGGGAATGCCAGAGCATCCCAGATGGAAACAAGCAATGGAGTCTCCACCAGGGCCAGGACTTCAGCAGGCAATCTGAGAGAGCACGAGAGGCCAAAGGGGCAGAAACCTCTGGAACTTTTTCCAAGAGAAGCTGATGGTTGGTCTGAGAAGGAATTGCAGAAGCTTCACAGGTAAGGGCTCTCTCTGTGTTCAGAGGAAAAGTTTCCCTCAGGAAATTGGGAGGGGTTGAATGGTCTGGATTGGGCATTTTCAGATTCCTGATTTCCCAGGTCTCCTTTGTTTTCCTTTCTTTTGTTTTAATTCCCTATTAGAAATATTCCATATTTAATTCCCTATTTTTATTCCCTAATAATAATTAGAATTATTATTCCCTATTAATTTTCTTCACAAGTGAAACATCAGTACAATGTGGTGAAGGCCACAGGTGAGAGGGAGCAGGTTCCCTGTCAGGATTGCAGTAACAAGTTAAACATGACAGGTTTCTGTGAGCAGGTTTGGTATGGGGAGCTTAACTGCAAGACTGTTTAATTAATCCATCATCCATTTAATTAAACTATTTAATAGACACTTGGAGTGAAAAATGGCCGTGTCTGGGTTTAGCTCTTTTAGATGAGCAGGAGCTCAGATCTGAGGGACCTATGCAAGTGAGCAGGAAATTTATCTTGGGACACATCTGTCAGTGGAAGGTGTTTAAATAAATTTGCCTGTTCTGAAGACACCACAGGATCCCTGAGGGGTTTAAATCTTAAATCTCACAGACCTTAAATCCCACCCCTCCCAGCCCTGCCCTGGCAGGGACAGCTCCCACTGTCCCAGGCTGCTCCAGCCCCAATGTCCAGCCTGGCCTTGGGCACTGCCAGGGATCCAGGGGCAGCCACAGCAAATCTGGGCAGCAAGAGATTCCCTCCAGCCCATTCCACGGCCCAGGCCCGTCCCAGGCAGGTTCCAGGGCTGTGCCCCACGGGTGACGCTGTGCCCGTGCTGTCCTGGCAGGGCCATTGCGGCATTCCCGAAGCACAGGAGCGGCTTCTGGCGGAACGTGGCCGTGGCCGTGGGGTCCCGCTCGGCCCAGGAGTGCCAGGGGAAATACCTGGAGGAGCAGCAGGGGAAGGGCTCCAAACAGCAGCACAAGAAAAACACGTCGGGAAAATCGAAGCAGAAAGGTACCGGCGTCTTGTTTCTGGGAGTTGTGGGGTTGGGAAATGATTTGGATTCAGACACTGAGGGGCTGGAGCGTGTCCAGGGCAGGGAAGGGAGCTGGGAAGGGGCTGGAGAATTGCTGAGGGAGCTGGGAAGGGGCTGGAGAATTGCTGAGGGAGCTGGGAAGGGGCTGAGCCTGGAGCAAAGGAGGCTCAGGGGGCCCTTGTGGCTCTGCACAAGTCCCTGGCAGGAGGGGACAGCCGGGGGGGTCGGGCTCTGCTGCCAGGGAACAGGGACAGGAGGAGAGGGAACGGCCTCAGGCTGGGCCAGGGGAGGCTCAGGGGGGACAGCAGCAGGAATTTCCCCATGGAAAGGGCGCTCAGGCCTTGGAAGTGCCCAGGGAGGTTTGCAGTGCCCAGCCCTGGAGGGATTTAAGGCCCTGTGCTTGTGGCACATGGGGACAGGGGTCAGTGGTGGCCTGGGCTGGGCTGGGGAAGGGCTGGACTCGAGGGCTCTGGGGGCTTTTCCAGCCTCACCAATTCTGGTTCCATGGGATAAATTCACAAGAGCACATCAGGGTGTGCCAGTGAGCCAGGTCACCTTTTGGTGTGCAGGTTGGAGCATGTCATGAATGACTGAGGTGATGAGAAGGGCTCTTTGTAGAATTTTCCAGCTTTTGGCATGAGGGGAAGACTTTCACTGGCCTTGACCCCTCAATGTAAAGAGCTCTTGACATCCTGAGGGGCTCCTGGAGGCCCAGCAGGTCAGGAGCTCCTTCCTGAGGGATTTTGGCAGAGTGGAGTCAGCACAGCCCATTCCCATTCTCTGGTGTTTGCCATCCCCACACTGCAGCTCCATCTGGGGCTGGGCTGCATTGAGCTTTGCCAGGGGTACAGGTGGAGCTGAGCATTCCCTGAGCCTGGCTTAACTCAAAGTGTCTGAGCAGCAGAGACTTGGTCTGAGCCTTGCTGCTCCTGCCATGGGGCTGCAGCTGTGGCCTGGCTCTCTGCAAGGAACATGTGAGCACGGCCCTGTCACACTGAGCACGGCCCTGTCACACTGAGCAC